TTTTTTTTTTTTTTTTTGTACCAGGGATCAAACTTGGGACCTTGTGCTTGCAAGGCAGGCTCCAGAGCGACTGAGCTAAATCCCTGGGCTAAGACACTTTTAATCATAATTTCTTCTATTTTTAGATTATAGTCTTTGAAGCTTTTATTCTTTTTTCCATTTTAGCCAGTACTTCAGATGAGAAAACTGGAACTTAAAAGTTCAAGTGACTTTTCTCAGATTTTATGCCAAGAACTGAGACCTTCAACTGCTCTGCCTCTTAGGTGTTTTACTATTTCCTTTGGCTGTGGGATCCATCAGGCCACATTATTTGAGCTGATGTTTAAGCTATTAATGCTTAATTTGGAAAAGTAAAAATACTAGCAAAAGAATTTCTTGGTTAACCTTGAACTAATCCCAGACCCATTTTTGTTTAAGACTGTTAAGAGTGAGAGTTAGTAGACACCCAGGGTTTGAAAATGCTTTTAGTTCATGTGATATTATCAAATATATCTTCAGGCAAGTGTGCTTTAATCGTTACATCTAGACATTTTTTATTGTGAGAGGGTTCTGTGTAGTGTTGTTTTGGAGAAAGGGATGACAAGGGTTTAGTCACATAAATATGATGTGCTTATAGCTGCATGGTGAGAATACTTGGGTGGATTGATTATTTTGGGGAAGGAACATGAAGAATCCACCATTTTCCCAATTGACCTATCATTACTGATTAAATCATTGGAGAATATCTAAAACCACCCGTAAAACAGCGTGTTTTTCACATTGCTCTTATGTACTTTAGGCAGAATTATGACATATTTGAGCTCTAGTTTTCAAAACATTAAAGCTAATATTGCAAAAATAGTAGTCAGTCTTATTTCTAGTTTTGGAGAATATCTACTTTGATGCTAAGCCTAGAACACCATTTATTTATGTTTAAAACATATAGATACTAGTAATGTACAATTATACATAAAGGATACACAAGGAAACAATATGTTCAATAAGACAGAAGGAAGACTCTTCTCAAAGCTCTGAATATAAGGTACATGCATTTAAAAAACAAATCAAATAATATAAAAAGGTGAGAATATTATAGTTGTATATCAACTTTTAAACTCTAAGTGAAATAAATATATAATTTACCAGATATTTTGAATTATCAAAAATGACTGAAAAGACAGGGAAACTAAGTGACCCCATAATCAAAAAAACGTGAATTATTAGTGCTAGAAAAGCAGGCCCAGATGAGTATGTAGCCAGTTCTACCAAAATTTCAGAGAGTAGATGACTTCTATGACTTAGAAACTGCTAAGGACAAAAACAATCCCTTCCCATTAAAAAATTAAAAGATATATCAACAGGGCCATTACTGATTAAAGAATCTTTCAAAACAACAAAGTCTTAGAATGCAATTTTAATTGTCTTATTTTCAGGTTCACCAAGCTGGTCTAACCTGTGATTATTCAGAACTTCTTCACCATATCAGCACAGAACAAGAAGTTGAGTATCTTATTCAGTCTGTGTATTATTTGCTGAAAAAATTACCAAAACCTACTCTTGTGACAATTGCAAGGTAAGCATAGTAGGCTGAGTAACGAACTACCAAAGATGTCCACATTCTGATCTGTAGAACCTGAGAATATGTTGTCTTATATGGCAAAAGGAACTTGGTAATGTGGTTAATGGAAGGATTTTGAGATGAGATTAACTGGGTGGGGCCTGTATTATCACAACAGCCCCAGTAAGAGGGAGGCGGGAAGGTCAGATTCAGAGAGAGTGCACGTGTGGAAGATGCTACATTGCTGGGCTGGAAGACAGAAAATAAGGCCACAAGCTGGGGATTGCTGGTACCCACTAGAAGCTAGGAAAGGCAGAAAACAGATTTCCCTATATTAAAATGCCACATTTTACTCCCATCTTTAAGCGTCACTAAACGTAGCAGTCACAAATGCAGATACCTATGTGTTACATCAACCAAATACCACAAACCACGTCGCCATAATGACATGATTGTTCCAATTCCTGAGCAAACTTTTAAGTCCAGTCCTTTCTCAATTCACAGAGTAGTTGCACTTCTGGAAAATTTAGTTCATATTTAATCCATTTTTAAAAATACTTTTTGTTCATATGTAAAAGTGTTAAGCTGTAAGCTTGATAAATTAAAAATCAGTTTCTTGCATTTGTGAATATTTCATGAACTTTGAAAATATGCAGGACACAGGACAATGATTCATATTCAACTCTCCTGCATTTGCAAGCCTCCTAGCAGCCCAGCCCTCTTGTCCTGGTCACCTGACTGTCAACAGCATTCGTCTAAAAATTATGACAATCAGAAATGTACCTACCCAGTTGGGGATGTACCTCAGTGTTAGAGCACTTGCCTAGCATGTGTGAGACCCTGACTTCAATCCCTACTACCACAATAAATGGAAGAGTTAAAGACATTGTGTTACAGTGAAACATGCATAGCCAGATTTATAGCAGCACAATTCATAACAGCTAAATCTTTGAAGCAGCCTATATGTCCATCAGCAGATGAATGGATAAAGAAAATGTGGTATTTATATACAGTAGAGTACTACTCTGCCATAAAGAAGGGTAAGCTTGAGTCATTTCTAGGAAAATGGATGCCCCTTGAAAATGTAATGTTACCTGATGCAAAAACTTAAATGTCATTTGGTTTCTCTTATATGAGAAATCCAAAATATAAATGAAGAGCTAAACACAGATCCAGCCCGTGCCAGCCAGGCACATCCACAGATGCTGGAAATTGGTCCCTGGTCGCAGGGAACCTGCCCCATCCAGCCTGCGCCCAAGGCAGCAATCCACTTAGCCGCGCTTAGTAGGTCTTTTATTACTGCCTCAATTTCATTGCATCTTATTGGATTATTCTGGGTTTTTATATCATCTTGGTTTAGTTTTCATAATTCATATGTATCTAGGATTCTCTTCATTTTTTCTGAATTCTCCAGTTTATTAGAGTACACATTATTGAAGTAATTTCTAATAATTTTCTGGACTTTGACAGCATAATACATTGTGATTTTACCTTTCTCTTTTTTAATTGCATTGATATGAGTCTTTTTTTTTCTTTTTTGTGGGGGTAAAAGATTGGCTAACAGTGTCTGTAGAGCTTATACTTTTAAAGAACCAATGCTTTGACTGATTTTTTACATTGATATTTTAGTCTCAATTTCATTAATTTCTGCTGTGATCTTTATAATTTCCTTACTTGTACTAGTTTTGGAATTTATTCTTATTTTACTAGGACCTTGAGGTACATTATTAGGTTGCTTATTTGGGCTTGCTCTGTTTTTCTAATCTGGATATTCACAACTGTAAACATGCCTCTCATGACTGCTTTCATTGTGTCCCTTAGATTGTGACATGTTTTACTGGCATGATTATTTGATTCTGAGAACTGTTTAATTTCTTTTGTTATTGATTTTTCAAGAGTGTATTGTTTAATCTTCATGTCTTTGCATATTTCTATGATTTTGCTATTGATTTCTATTCTTATTGCACTATGATCAGATAATATGCATGGGGTAATGTTGATTTTGGAATATTTATTTAAGCATGAGTTGTGGGCGAGTATGTGGTCTTATTTTGGAGTGAGTTCCATGTGCTCCTGAGAAGAACATATGTTTTGTTATTGGGTTGAACACTGTAGATATCTATTAAATTTATTTATTTGAAGGTATAGTTCAACTCTAATATTTCTTTAAATTTTTTTGTCTAGTTGATGGTGGGTTAATGAATTTTCCCACTATAATTGTGTTGAAGTTTATCTGATGTTTTAGGACCAGTGGTGTTTTATGAAGTTGGGTATACCAGTATTTGAGATATAGATATACATACAGATATATTCTCTTCCTGTTATATTTTTCCTTTATTCAATATGTAGTGATCTTCTTTGCCTCTTCTGATCAATTTGTCTTGAGGTCCACTTTGCTGGAAAAACGGGATAGCTGATCCCGCTTGCATTTGGGCTCCCATTGCATGAAATATTCTTTTCCATCCATTGATTCCATCTATGATTTTTTTAGTTAAATGTGTTTCTTGTATACATCATAATATTGGGCTTTGTGTTTTGATCCAATATGAAGTCTGTCTTTTGACTGGAGGGTTGAGACCATGCACATTGAGAGTTATTGCTGAAAAATATTAACTTATTCCTATTACTCATTCCATGTTTTCCCCATCTGCTTAAGTGCTCAACCCAATGAATGATGTATTCATTTCACTAGACATTTTGGCATTATTGGCTTCATTGTCTCTGTCTATAATATTCTTGAGAATTTTTTGGTGTACTCATTTGCTTTTCTTGTAGGGCTTGAAACACTTCACTGCAGGCTCTCTTTGTCTTTAAAGTTTGTATTAAGAAGTCTGCTATAATTCTAATAAGTTTGTCTGGATAAGTGATTTGTTACTTTTCTCTAACAGCTTTTAAGATTCTGTCCTTGTGTTGAATTTCTGGAATTTTGGCTCCGATATGTCATGGAGAAGTTCTTTTCTGATTGTAGCTATTTGGGGTTCTATATACCTTGTTTTTCTGTACATTAAAAAAATTCCCCATACTTAGAAAATTTTCTGCTATGATTCTTGTAAACAAACTTTTTTATGCCATTCCTACTGTCTTCTGATTTTTCACTCATTCCATTTAATCTGCCTAGTCTTTGAATCCTCTCTCAGCTATTGGATCCATTTTCCATTGTTTATTGTTTTTTAAGGGTGTCTCTGAGAATATGGTCCCCTACATCAGCCCTATCTTCTTTTGTCCTTTCTTTGTTTTACAGAGGAATACTGTAGACACTTTAAGAGTTTTCCAAGCGCAAAGCATGTAAAGTGTTATACCAAAGTAATCTGGGATGGAGGAGGATCTCAATGGTAGAGCCCTTGCCTTAGTATGGCATGGGTTCAATCCCCAGCACCAGAAAAACAAAAAACCAAAACTATGGGGCCAGGGATTTAGCTCGGCGGCACTGCACCTGCCTTGCAACCACAAGGTACTGAGTTCAATACCCAGTACCAAAAAAAAAAAACCTACTACAGAACAGATCAGTAACAAGTAAATAGGTAAAGAGACTGAAGCAGTAATGAAAATTCTCTCTTCAAGAAAAGCCCAAGACTTGATGGCTTCATCACTGAATTCTATCAAACATTTAAAGGGGTAGTGATATAGGGTGTTTTTTGCAACATTAGCCAGAGCACTCAGGCAAGAGAAAGAAATAAAAATAATATATATAGGAAAGGAAGAAGACAAATTATAATTACTTGCAGATGACATGATCCTCTATAGAGAAGATTCAAAAAATTCCACCAAACTGGGAAGAAAGTGTTCAAATGGGAAGGGGAATAAGAGAGGAGAGAGGGAGAAAGGAAGACAAGGATAAGAAAAAAAGTGAAAATAGAAGGGGAAAATGGAAATGATGCTTTTGTACATAAGGAGGGGAGGGGGTTTGGGAATACATAAAATAAAAATAAAATAACATTTACTGAAAAATGTAAAGATAGCTGTACTGAATCAGTATGTATTTTTTGCTAGGTAAAAATATTATAATATGCATCCTAATTTAAATTCAGGGCTAGTGATTATGCTTTTTCAGAATAAAAAGAGGTGTTTGTGTTAAATAGTCCACCCAAAGACTCCTAAAATTAATAACCAAATTCAGTAATGTAGCAGGATACAATGTCAAGAGAAAAAACTCAAGAGTGTTCCTGTACATGAATAATAAACTCACCAAGAAAGAAGTCAGGAAAACAATACCTTTCACAATAGCATCAAGAAAAATTAAATATCAGGAATTAACCTAATCAAAGAAGTGAAAGACCTGTACAATGAAAACTGAAAAAGGAGATCAAAACAGACATCAGAAAATGGAAAGATATCCCTGTTCCTGGATAGGTAGAACCAATATTGTCAAATTGGCCATATTTCCAAAACTGTTACACAGACTTACTGCAATCCTAATCAATTTAGCAATAGCATTCCTCACAGAACTAGAGAAAACAATCCTAAAATTCACATGGAACCAGAAGAAACCTAGAATAGCAAAAGCAATCCTGGACAACAAGAACAAGGCAGGACACATCACAAGCCTGGACTTCAAGTTATACTTCAAAGTTACAGTGATTTTTTTTTTGTTTTTAAAAGCATGGTTTTGGCAAAAAATGGACATGTGGATCAATGGAACAGAATAGAGGATGCAGAAACAACTCCAGGCACATTCAGCTACCTGGTCTTTGACAATGGCACCAAATACATACACTGAAGGAAAGATGGCCTCATTAACAAATGGTGCTGGGAACACTGGCTATCTACATGCAGCAGATTGATGTTAGACTCCTGTCTCTCACCATGTACTAAACTAAAATAGATCAAACATCTAAATATTAAAACAGAAACAATCTTCTGGAAGGTAAAATAGGTAAAACTATTGAGGACATAAGTATAGGCAAGGACCTTTGGCTTTTCTGCTAAGTCAATCCCATTTGTGTCCTAGGCTGGGTTTTACCATTTTGTTATTCTTCCATCTGGAAATCTGTGCACTGGGTACATGTGATGCCAGCCTATGGACATTATAGGAGTCACAAGTGATGACATCCCAAGGAGCAGATGCTACCATGATCCCTCTGTGCAGGTGGGGACATGGCAGAGGTCCCCAGAGACATGAGGACTTAGCCAGGCTAAGCAACTGCAAGAAGGCAGTGCCAGGTCTCACCCCAACTCAGCCTCCTCAAAACCGGGCCCCAGCAACACACGACCCTTCCTGGGGGGCTGTGAGGGGGACGGTGTTGGTGCAACTGTGCACAGCTGGGGACGTGCATGGCTGTGGGGGTGAGTGACCCAGAGGGACCCTGAGGGAAATCCTGTGGAATGAGGAAGCCCAGGCAAAGGGCCCTCAAGAAGGACCTCTCCTCTGCCGGGTGTGATGGCGCACAAACAATTGCAAAGCTTCCTGAACATTAACCAGGAAAGTGGGAGCTCCCACCAACAGCTCTGCAAAGTGACCCTCTGCTCCCTTCTGCAACCACAGCCTAGGACAGACCACCTCAGGCCATCCAAATCTGTGTCCTTCGCACACACGCGCACATGCACACGCGCACACACACCCAAAAGCCAAAATCTAGGGACCCAAGGACCTATTTTTCAGGAGGCCGAGGCAGGCAGGTTCTTACCTCAATGCCCGCCACCTTGAAGCACTGCCCATGATTCCTTGTCCTCCCCCAAGGATGATCTCCATGGTCCTCAGCCCTCTGCCTTGGTTAGCGGCCCCATGTGCTGCCAGGCCCCACGGCTGTCCACACAGTTTTGGAGCGCAGCATCCTGCAGGACCCACGCGGACAGGAGCACCTACGCGCTGAGAAGGCCTGGTGAGCATGCGCTGCTTCAGCGGCAGTTAGGCACGTGGCTTGATAACTGAGATTCCAATCAGGCACGTGGCTTGGTTACTGAGATTCCAATCAGGCACGTGGCTTGGTTACTGAGATTCCAATCCGTTGGAACCTAGCCTCAGAGCCTAGTGGTTGGGACACTGTGGCTTGCTGAATTGGCTTCGGAGCTGGAAAAAGGCTGAAAGGGAGGGGTAGCCTCAGCTATGAGGCGGATCTTTGGCCTCAGCAGTAGGGGCCAGGTGCCCTCGGGCCCCGCAGGCCTGCAGGGCAGCTTCGGAGGTCCACAGCACAGGGTTCGCCCCAGGTCCATGGGCAAGCTCCACAAAGCTGCCAGCGTGGGCAACACGGCCAAGGTGCAGCATCTCCTCATTATGGGGAAAAGTGGCGTCAATGACAGAGACAAGAAGCACAGGTATGGGGCTGCGGGGGAGGGTGTGCAGGTGTGGCCAGGATGGTGCTGCAGGTCCAAGGGTTCAGAGGGCTGGACAGGGTGAAGAGGGGGAAGGGCAGGCAAAGGGAGGCCTGGAGGGGCTGACAAGGGGAAGAGGAGGGCACAGGGGAGGGCTGGAGGGCAACCTGGCGGGCAGGCAGGGGTTGGGGTAGGGGAGCCTCCCACCACCCGGAGAGGAAACCTTGGAGGGGGTCTATCCCCAGGCAGCAAAATATTTATGACCAGCGAAATAAAATCACCTTTCTTTTTTTTTTTTTTGGCGGGCAGGCAGGGGTTGGGGTAGGGGAGCCT